CTGGACAGGAAGTCACCTGGGCCTGGACAGGAAGTTACCTGGGCCTGGACAGGAAGTCACCTGGGCCTGGACAGGAAGTCACCTGGGACTTGAGGAGTAGATCATTTGTATGTTTCCTTGGAGGACTGTGCTTCTATTTTATTAAATATGAGGTAAATTACTTATTAACTATAATAGACATTAAATAAGCTGCAGTTAAGGTTCATGTGTTTGTGTCTGAAACCATCGTCTGTAACCGACTGTAGGAGGAACGTTGTGGGAATGTTGTGGGAACGTTGTGGGTTTTTATGCTGGAAGAGAAGAAAGTAAAAGTTCTCAACGACGACAAGAGACAAAGCTTGTTCATTTAATTCATACTCACACATATTAACCTGGACCAGCTCCAGGGTCTGTCTGGTATATGTCACATGCAGCAGACTCACTGTGGAGTTTACTCCACATGTTACACTGATGGTACATTTTGCATTTTATTTTTTCTCACTCTTTATTGTTTTTGCCTGTTTATTGGTATTTATGATGGTGGTACGTCTGTCTTTGCTCTGGAACCAACCAAGTTTCCCCTGAGGGATTAATAAAGTATTCCTATCTATGAGTGCATCTTTCCTGTCTGTTGTATTTGTATTATTGTTGATGTTGTTGTTGTTGTTGATGTTGTTGTTGTTGTGTTGTTGTTGTTGTTGTTGTTGTGGAGTCATGCTGTGTCTTCCTGTTCTTCCTGTGCTCCTGCTTCATGCTGTGGCCGCTGTGACCTACATGGGGAACACAGACCTTCTCTCCATGAGGCTGCGGGCTGATGAGCGGATGATGTGAGCGGCCTGTCGGCCCGCCGGCCTCCACTAGGTGGCGGCAGAGAGGAGCTGCAGCTGCTGTTGATGCTGAGGAAGCTTCTCCTCACTTCTGCATCAGAGCAGCACAAACACCGACTTCCTGTCAGACCTGCAGCCTTCAGCCCGCTGCCTCTCCGGAGCTTCTGCTCTGCGCACCGGGCAGCAGGAGGCTTGTGTCGCGGCTCGGAGGAAGCCTGGAGCTCAGCCTGGAGCAGCAGCAGAACCAGCAGCCGTAGATGAGGATAGTTCGCCCCGGAGGCACCAGCCGTTCCTGCTCCGCCTCCCCGCCACTCCGAGCGGCCGCCGCGGCTCAGCAGCGCCGCAGATAGCGTCAGTGGAGCGGGGCTGCCGGCCCTGATGCTCGGCCCGGCCTTCTCAGCCCTCCCCAGCCTGAGCGCCCGTTAGGGAGCCACCGAGCCGCGCTGCGACATCCAGCCGCCCCGAGCCCCAGGAAGGCCGGAGAAGGGAGCGGCGGAGCGGCAGCACCGGCCCCGCAGGGAGCTGCAGCCGGCGGCGGATGAGCGGCTCCAGAGATGGCTGTTCTCAAGCTGGCGGAGCAGGTAGGAGCTACTGTTAGCTTAGCATCCTGCAGCATCCCTGGTCGGTAGTCTGGAGCACCGAGGACCGGCTCGGTGCGTCCGTGTCTCCGGTCCGGAGCTCGGCTTTAACAAAGCCGAGAAAAAGCTCAGTTCATCCCGCAGACGGTGATCAGAGAGCCGCCAAAACCTGCAGGAAAGTGGACGTTAATGTCTCATTAGTTCCTGAAAATGTTCCGTTTAATGAGGACAGAACATCTCGGTTTCCTTCCGCAAACAGCAGCAAAGTCATGAAGTACTCTGAGTACACGGGGAAGTACTCGAGTACTTCCTATTAAAGCAGAGGGAAGTGAAATAATCTGCCTCCCAAAAACAAACAGACTGAACTTTAGTCAAAACAGGTAATAAAAGATCAGAACGAGCGGTTTACATGTTTTATCCAAATAAAATCAAACTACACAATAAAGCGAGTTAATTTTAAAGAAAGAAATCACTGCGATTAAAAAACTACAGCTTTAGCTGCTAGCTTTAGCTGCTAGCTTCAGCTGCTAGCTTTAGCTGCTAGCTTTAGCTACATTCTGATTAGACACTTTTTCTTGATGAATGTAAAAGTTGTGTTCAGTTATTTTAAGACACAGTATTCAGGACTGAAACTAAATATTAAACTATTAAACTAAATATTAAACTGTACGATAGAAAACAATAAACTGTCTTCGACAAGCTAACTAGCTTCAGCGCTAGCTTGCCTAGCTTAGCAGACTCCATGTCCAGTGATTTTATGTGGTTAAGATCATTATTAATGTTATTAATAAATAATCATTAAACTACCTTCTTGGTACAAATGGACAAGAGAGTTAAAAAGGGAAAAATAAAACAGCAAAATATTTTTTTAATTCGTCGTTTTCATTTACTTAAGTGGCTGAACATCAAATAAATGAGGCAGCAACTAAACTTAGCTGTAAATTAAATATTTTTGTTCATACAGCTAAACAGCAAACTTCTAAAAGCTGGCTAGCTAAAGCTAAATAGCTAAGTATCCTTCTAAAAGCTAACTAGACAAAGGCTAACTAGATAGATGTAATTCTAAAAGCTGATTAACTAAATGCCAGCTAGGTAAGCATTCTTCTAAAAGCTAATGAACTACGTATCCTCCTAAAAGCTAACTAGAAATAAGCTAACTAGATAGGTATCCCACTAAAGGCTAACATGCTTAAAAGATACTAAGTGAGAGCCATTTTAAAAACTAACTAGCTAAAAGCTAACTAACTAAATGCCAGCTAGTTAAGCATTCTTCTCACAGCTAACTTGCTACGCGTCCTTCTAAAAGCTAACTAGATAAAAGCTAACTAGATAGATGTCCTTCTAAAAGCTGATTAACTAAATGGCAGCTAGCTAAGCATTCTTCTCAAAGCTAACAAGCTAAGTATCCTTCTAAAAGCTAACTAGAAATAAGCTAGCTAGATAGGTATCCCACCTAAAGGCTAATGAGCTAAAAAGAAACTGAGAGCCATTTTAAAAGCTAACTAGTTAAAAGCTAACTAGTAAGTGTCCTTCTGAAAGCTAACTAACTAAATGCCAGCAAGTTAAGCATCCTTCTCAAAGCTAACTCAGCGTCTGTCTCGTAGCTAACAAGCTAACAGCTACCAGAGGAGCCTCTGACCTGATGTCTCGTGATTTTATTTTGTGATTAAGCTGCTAATTATTCACAAAATCTAACATAATTACCTGAAAATTAATTTATTAAAACAGCACGTAGACGAGAGACAAACACTTTTTAGATGTTTTCAGCCTCTCTTGTGTTGAATTGCAGTAAACGGGATCATTATAAATAAAAGCATCACTTTATTTACTTTTGCTCTCTGTAGGTGATTCTGGTCGTTCTCGTTATTTACAAACCAAACAATCAACTGATAAATGAGGTCGTTACCAAATAGTCTAGAATGGATTTTCTGCATTTAAATAGATTGTCGTGATTCTATTTTTGTGTTGCATGTTGTTCGAGGTCTTTTCTTTGTGTTATCGGTCCGTTTACCTCCACAAATGATCTGAATTGTTCCTCCAGCTCAGTCACTGATGAAGAATGTTAGAATGCAGATTTACAGTCGGTGATGCTGTGATGTTCATGCTTCATGTGAAGGACCTTCTAGACGTTCCTGAGCAGCAGCTTCACAGCAGCTCTGATCAGTCACAGGCTCTCCTGAACTTTAGTAAATCACAGACACGTCTACGTATGTACAACAAATTCATTATAAGCTAAAAACAATAAAAAAAACATGAATAACTAAAACGAATATCTATATGTATTATTTATTATGATGTAAAACCATCAAATACAAGCGGAGATTCAAACACAATGCAAGTTGAACATTAAAAATTAATGAATAAATCGGCTAGAATGCAAATAAAATGTAGGATAGAATAAAAAACACATAAAACGCAAGTTAGGTCATAACAAGTTTATAAATTATTCAAACGTATGAGCAGAAAACACGACTTAAAGGACGATACCGAATGAGAGCG